GACACGGCGCGGCCCCAGCAGCCGGCAGCCACGCTCATGCTGCGCTGGCCGCGCTGTTCACGCTCGCCTTCAGCCTGGCTCTGTGTCCGCTCGTGCCGGAGGCCGGCCCCGCCCGGCTGCGCCGAGATGGTGCGGAGCAGGTGGTTCCGAGAACGCAGGAAGTCGCCCTGGCCTGGCAGGCCGAAGCTACCCTTGCGTAGCGCCATGCGCGTGGCCGCGTTGCGGGCCGGCCGCGCCCGGTGGTTGTACTTGAGCTGCGCCAGGTGGGCCGCGTAGCCGTCCGTGATGAACTGCGGGTGCAGTGACAAGGACAGGCCGTCAGGGACGCCTGGCTGGGCCCTCCTCCCGCCCACCTCCCTGCCTCCCCTTCCCCACCTGGCACTGGTGTTGCAGCTTCTTAGTGGGCCGCCCCACTATGTAGATCTGCATGGGGGACAGGCTGATGGCGCTGTAGACCGCCACATCCTTGGTGGAGCCGTAGGCCGCGTGCACGCGCAGGTGCAGCTGTGGACAAGAGCGAGTGGGCTCGGGCCGGCCTTCCCGCCCTCCGCACACCCCCCACACCCCCCGCGCGAACCCCTACCCACCTCCGAAATCAGCAGCTTCAGGAAGTTGGCCTTGTGCCGAAGCGGGTCGTGCACCAGGCCATCACAGAAGGACACGACGCCGTGGGGGAAGTTGTGCTGGGCCAGCCAGGCCACCACACGCTGCTTCTGCATGTCCGGCCGGCCCGTCACGTAGATGATGAGGTAGCCCAGGTCCTGCCAGTGCCTGCAGGCAGGGCACCCTTCGTTCCATGCCACCCTTCCTCCCTCCTGGCCTCTCTGCCCTCCCTGATGCCCCCTCTCGTTGAGCCACTGAAGGGTGTGGCTCTGATCAGACTCAGCCAATCGTAGTAATGGCAGAGATGATGATGGTGACAATGGATGCAGCCGACCCTTCCGTGGGCCCACACCATGCCGGACAGTGTTCTAGAAACCCTGTGCCTCTTACCCACTGCATCCTCACACACACACCCTGGGCAGCTGGTGTAGCGGGTCCTGTTATGAGCCAGCTTTACACATGAGGGTGGGGAACCAGGGGGTTAACTAATCACCCCGAGGTCACACACCTAAGTGGTGACGTAAGTCCTCAAGACCCAGGGTCCCTGCCTGAGGTCCCCCTGCTGTTTCTGGGAAAGGCCCAACACTCAGCTTGGCACTCAGGCCCCCGACCTGGCCCTCAGGAGCCCTCCCTCAGACCTGCCCCTGCCCTCTTGGTACTGGTGCCTACTCACCGCACCACGTCCACAGCTCCGGCCCGCACCTTGGGGTCACTGCCCATGATGGATACACTGGCGGCAAAGGAGCCGTCGATGCTGAACACCACGAACTCCGTGCCCTTGGGCAGCACGGTGATGTAGCTGTCGGCAAACGTGTGGTCCCCCCTGGGGGGGGACTTGTTAGGCCTCACTCCCACCCCTGGAGGCCACCCTGCCTGCCCACCCTGGGTGCTGCCCACCCGAGGGGACCTGACCACCATCTTGATGGGGTAGACACCCATACCCAGGAGCCTGCCTCTCGCCCGAGGCCACCCCGCATGCCCACCCCAGATGCTGCCCGCCCATGGGTACCTGACCACCATCTTGATGGGATAGACACCCACACCCAGGCGGTGGGTCTCAGGGAGGGTGTAGGAGACACGCCCACTGCTGTTGGTCACCAACGTGTCCAGGTAGAGCCACTCGCCTGAGGGTGGCTGTGTCATGATGTGCACGTCCACCTGGGACCAGGCATACCATCACCAGCTGCCTGGGCCCCTGGCTGCCCCGTGCCCTGGCCACTCTGTGTCCCAGTCGGAGGTGCCCTGTGTCCTTACCTTCTCCCCGGTCAGGGTGACCATGTCCAGGGGCCCATACATGAACCGGCCGGTCAGGACCTGTGGGCCGTCCTCGTTGGCCACCGCATCATTGATCCGGTGATTGGCTGTCACATTCTGAGGAGGGGAAGCAAGGCTGGGACAGGGCAGGCAGCAGAGGGGCAGCTAGGGTCTCTCATGGGCTTAAAGCCCAAGCGGCCAGGTCCAAGTCCAGCTCTGCCAACCTGGCTGCATGGCCTTGGGGAAAAGAGGAAGCCTTGCCATACTTCCCCATCTGTAAAAAGGGGTGGTAACTCCAGCCCCCCAGACATGTGAGGATTAAACATGCTGTGCTGTTTCTCTGAGACTCAGTTTCCTCATCTGTAAAATGGGGTGCTTTAATGGGTCCCCCACAGGCTGCTTATGGGGCCTGGTGCCCAGGGCCCCCTCACCCGCAGCTTCACATGGGTCCTCTTGCGCTGCCACTTCTCCCTCGGCTTGGAGGGGGTGAACACTGACACCTCCTTGCCATCCAGCTCCAAGACGCTGGAACTGTCGTGCCGCATGACCTGAAGGGGGATCAGAAGGCCATGGGCCAGGCCTGCCTGCAGCAGACTTGAGGGGCAAGCCGGGCAGCATGGGAGGGGCCCCCTCTCCTGATCATCACAGATTGGGTCACTGGGGTCCCCTGGGGGCCTGGGTGAGCCTGGCAGGGCCCATTACCTGTCTCAGCAGGAAGGAGACTACGTCAGTGGATTCCCAGTAGCTGGCGTGGAAGAGGTGGGGCAGGGCCACCGTGGGGAAGGCTGTCAGGGCGTCCGGGCAATACAGTGCATAGTCAATGCGCTTCTGGCCCCACCACTTGGCTGCGACTGCCGGAGGAGGGGCTGTGAGTGGGCCGGGCAGCCAGCAGGGCGGGGACCTGGAGGTCACTGGGCTCAGACCTTCCCTCCAACAGGGTGGTGGGGGAGCAGGGGGACAGGGGAGCAAGCCTGCAGCCAAAGCGTGTCTTCTCCTCCCAGGCTGGCCAGAGGGAGCAGGAGGGTGGGCCTGGGATGGCAAGACACCACCCAAGTGCCCAAAGGGCAGCCCAGGCACCAGCTCCAGACAGAGTGCCCGAGGAGGAGGCCCGGAGGCAGGAGGACTGGCCCTCCCGTCTGGTGCTGACCCAGTGGCCGTGCCCCAGGCCCCATTGCTGCACTCTGGGCCTCACTTCCCCTGCTGGCCCCCCAGGCCTCAAGGCTGTGAGGGGTTTTCAATCCTGGGGTACCAATTCCCTAAGACCAAGGCAAGGCCACCCAGCAGCTGGGCCTTGGTTGGACGGGCCATTCTGAGCTCGGTGACCCCAAGCCCATGAGTGTCCAGTGAGACCAGGCTGGTAGCTGGCTGTCCTGGGGGCTGGACCCCAGGATGTTCTCCTGTCGGCTTGTTCACCCTCCTGGCCTTGCTTCAGCTCACGGGGTTCCCTCAGGCACCGGCAACTCCAGCCACTTCTGCCTCCCCAGCCCAAGCCCCCAGCTCCCTGGTGAGGCTTGCAGCAGGGTCCAGGTGGGTGGTGAGACATGCTTGGAAATGGTGAGTGAGCCCAAGTGAGAGGGGGACAGAGTGTGTGGGTGGAGGGCCGCACGCCTGGTACCTTCTCCGATGTCCAAGTCTGGGAGGCAGGGGGCCCTCTCTGGGCTGGGGCTCGGCTGCCCGGCCCGAAGGCGGGGGCTGGGGGTGCGGGGGGCTGGGGGGGGTAGGGCGAGCAGGGACAGGCGCCTGACGCTTGGCGTGTGGCTGAGCGGCGCTGGGGCCTCTGATGAGCAAGAACAAGGGGCAGCTCAGCTATGGCGGCCATGAAGGAGGCTGGGCTGGGCCCAGAGGCACCTGCATGTCAGCCTGGGCACTGCTCACTTCCACAGGCAGTCAGAGGGAGCCCAACAGCCAGGCAGGAAGGACAGACGGCAGCTGGCCCCCATGGGAGGCGACCAGTGGGAGTATCTCAGGGGACCCTGAACTCTGCTTCCAGCTGCTAGGAGGCTCCTGGAGGTGGGCAGGTGCCCAGCATCGAGGGAGGCATCCTGGGTCGGCATGAGGCATCCACGGCCAGGGGACCCTGCCTCCCTGGCGTCCCCGGCCACGTCTCTGCTCTTTCTGCCTCCTGGAGGAGCTGTGTTAAGAACCCAGCTTCTTGTCTGCAAACAGCGTTGCAGCTCTCTCCCTCAGGAGGCACTGTGACCCGAGGCTTCGGAAGTCCCGGCCCCTCTGGACTCGGCCCCTTCTCACTAGCTGGCAGCTCTCAACTGTTTGGGCCGGACCTGCTCCACTGGCCGCCCCTTCTCAGCTACTTCTCTCCAGGGCTCTCGTGAAAAGGGAGGGTTTTTCACCCTCGGCACCACTGACAATGCAGACCGGAGCATCCTCTGCTGGGGGCTGTCCTGAGCACTGAAGGATGTTTAGCAGCTTCCCTGGTCTCCACCCACCAGATGCCAATAGCAGCCCCAGCCCTAGTCGTGATGATCAGAAATGACTCCATACTGTGCCAAATGTCCCCTGGGGGGCAAAGCTGCCTGGGGTGAGCATGGCTGCTTCGATGGGGCAAACCTCCCCATTCCCCAGAAGCTCGTCCTCCCTGCTGGGACTCGGGGACCGAGAAGGGGCCTGCCTGGGCACTGTGCACTCACTCTGGGCGATGCTGGACGCCGTATAGCTCTCTGCCATGCCCGACACCTGGCTGGCAATGCTGATTTCGCTGGCTCGGCGGAAGCCGCGGCTCGGGGGGGCCGTGCCGGGCGATGAGGGGGCAGCGATCTCTTGGAAGACGGTGGTGTGGGTCTGGAGAGCATCCGCTGCAAGGGGAAGGGACCAGAGACCAGGGGTCAGAGGGGCCCACCCACCCTGGCCTGGCTTGGCCTGGCCTGGCCAGCCCTGAGCATCAGGAGGGAAGAGGTGGCCTGGGGTTGGGTGGGCCAGAGCAGAGGGTAGGCCAGGCCAGGCTCACATGTGGTGGCATCTGAGCACAGCAGTGGCCCAAGCATGTAAGGGCTGTGAGAGGGCGGGGCACAGGGCTGAGGCCACGGACAAGGAAGGAAAGAAGGGCTGGGGCAGGAATGGACAGACGGAGTGACACAGACAGCAGCAGGGAGGCAGGCAGTGAGGCTCCCCACCCCAGCCACCCTTTTCATCGTGAACACGGCTAGCTCTTGATGTACTCCTTTCTGGGCCTCCAGGGCTAAGCCTGGCCAGGCCTGAAACATAGCCTTCAGCAGCAGTGGCGGCTATCCCGGGCGTTAACAGGGCCTTGCGCAGCTTCCAGGATCCCTATGCTAAGGATCAGTGTGAGGCAAGGCCCCGGACCTCCTTCCCAAAGGGAGCTAGCCCAGAATGGGCGTCTGGGGACAAGGGCAGGTGCTTCGGGCTCAGCCCAGGTTCACTGGGCCCGGGGCTGAGGGCAGGGCAGAGGAGACAGGACAGGGTGGGAGGTACCTGCCATCCTCAGGGAGGGAAGCAGTGGGACCCAGAAAATCCAGCCCACTCGACACTGGGTCCAAAGACTGCTCCCGAGGTGGGGCTGGGGTAACAGGGAGGCCTCACCCAGCTCTCCTGTCTGCCTCGCCCACCTCATGGGGGAGGCACGGAGCTCTGGTACGGTGGCTGACCTACTATGTGGCCCTGGGGCAGTCTCTCACTGTCTCTGGGCCGTGTCCCACAGGGTCTGACTTTAGGTCTGACCCAGGAGTAAAAGGGAAGTGGCCCCAAGGCCAAACCCCCAGGTTTATCCTTCCTGGGCCTGCTCCTCACCACCAAAGTCCCTGGATTTGCATGGGGGGGGGTAGGGGTGGGCATGAGCACCAGCGTCAGCCCCGTGAAGCGACACCACCACCACAGGGGAGGGGTACACACACTCAACACAGCCCGGGCTCTGGCGGGGGCCATCCTGCCAGGAGGGCATGGGCACAGGGATACTGGTTTCCAGGAAGCCGTCCCCAGGTGGGAGGGGGGCCAGGGGGCTGCCCTCCAGGACCAGCTCGGGGTGTCTCTGCACACTGTCGACTGGAAGCAGACGGGGGAAGAGAACAGGACAAGAACAGACACTTGTGTGGGTGCCATCAGACACATGGGCGCGCGCGCACACGCACACACGCACACACGCACACATGCACGCACGCACACACACACACACACACACACACACACAACTGCTTTTCACGGACCAGGACGAATGAGGTGCCTGGACACACAGGGGCTGGGGCGGACAGGCTGATGGGCGGCCCTCACTGGCCTTACTCCATCCCCTCACCACAACCCCGTGCTTGCCAGGGTTTGCTACAATCCCCATGTGCGAGACAATCTGCCCCCCCATGGGCGGATTGGGGCCCAGGCATGGGGAGAGGGTTCTGGTCCTGCTCTTCTCCCTGTGCTGCCAGGAGGGAGGCCCCGGCCCTGGGAGCTCAGCCTCCTCTCTGTAGGCTGGAGCTGGAATCCCCACCGGACCCATAAGGACCAAGCGCATCGCGTCCCCTAGAGGTAGCCAGCTGGTCAAAGGAGTCCCGCGCAAGCCCATTCCCTCCCTGCCTTGGGGCAGAGCCAGGGGCGTGGGGTGCACAGCAGGGCTGCGCTCCCGGGCCTTACCCAGCAGTGTGGAGCAGCCGTCCCCCAGAGGGTAGCGCTGGTAGCGGGGGATGCTGAAGGGTGGCAGGGCGTGGAAGCGGCGCTCCAGCAGTGGTTCCAGGCGGGAGGCCGACGGGTCCGCAGGATGAAACAGGTTGTAAACTTGCTGGCAGGCGGGCCGCAGCTGGAAAACTGGGGGTGGGGGGCAGGGGTGATTACAGAGCCTGGAGCCAACTCAGCCCCAACCAGGTGGGGCGGGGTGGGGTGGGGCATAAGAGATCCTAGGACTGGGCACCAAGTTGTCTCTGTACAGGATACGGAAAAACTGTGTCATCATTTTGGGATTGGTTTGGGGCATTATCCCTTTATTTTTGCATTGTTGATTTGACTCACAGCGACCCACGTGACAGAGGAGAACTGCCCCATAGGGTTTTTTTTGGCTGTAATCTTTACAGGAGCAGATCTCCTGGTCTTTCTCCATGGAGCAGCTAGTGGGATGGAATCTCCAACCTTTCGGTCAGCAGCCGAGTGCTTAATCATTGGACCACAGGGGCTCTTTTGTCTCTTTACTAACCAACTACTTTTTTAATTGAAAAAGTTACAATGACCGTGGTAAAACTGATTTTTTTTTTTTTTTTTTTTACAGTACAAGAGTGTACGTGGTTAAAGGTAAGTAACGGAAGTCTCCCTTCTGCCCCAGGTCATGGGCCTTTTGGGAGCTATCTCAGGCACGCTCTGGCCTGGTGGTCAGGAGTGCAGCCTAGATTTAATGGAAATGTTCCCTCATCTATAAAATGGGGCTGATATACCACTTCAGAGTTGTTAGGAAAAGTGCATAAATGTAAGGATATATGTACAATTCGCTTATTCTTATCATTTATCCCAATTTAAATAAACATGATTCAGCTATAAAAACGAAGTTCTGATACATGCTACAACATGGATGAACCTTGAAAATATTATTCTAAGGGACAAAAGCCAGACGCAAAAGGCTCCATAGTGTATGATTCCATTTATAGGAAATGTCCAGAACAGGCATATGCAGGGAGACAGAAGGTAAATTAGTGCGTAGGAAAAATGTTCATTGTGGTTATCCTTGGATCGTAGGACTTCAGGAGTTTTTGTTCTTTCTGATTTAGATTTAAAACTTTTCCAAAATGAAAATACATGATTTTTTAACAAGAAACTTTAAAGTTTAAAAACACATGCACACAGAGATACTTCTTGAACTCTGCCCCCTCCCCACTTCATGCAAAAAACGTTGGAGTTTTTCATATCAGCACGTGTAGTTCTGCCTCATTCTTTATCTTTCTTTATTTTTATTGTATGTGTTTCTATTTCTGGCCCCTTTCTCTGTAGCTGCGGCAGGGGATTCCGCTGTATGGCTGGGCCACAGCTCATTTCACAGCCCCCTCCTCATGCGTGCACATTCAAGTTCTTTCTAGTTTTTCGCGATTACAGAGAACATCACTGCAGTGTCACTCTCCTAAGTCTTTGTGCACTGGTGTAAGTGTCTGTGGAGCAGAAATCCCAGGAATGGGGTTGATGGGTGCACAGGTAGGTAAGGCCCTCCAGGTGACTGTACCTGCTAACGCTGGCACCAGCAAGGTGGGGGTTTGCTTGGTTGTCGGGACTCCTTTCAAGCTACAGATTTCCCTTCCTCACAGTGATGAAGTCGCCAGATTGTGGCATGGAAGGAGTGTGAGGGGCCGAGGCAGAGGGTCTGGGTTTGAACCTAGTGCCACTGCAGACGTGCTCTTGGGCAAGAGTCTAAGCCTCTCTGAGCCTCAGTTTCCTCCTCTGTATCTGAGACTGGGACGCAACATGAGCTCTGCACGGCTGTGGTGAGGCCCACGGGAGCCCCCTGGAGCCGTGCTGGGGGGCCACAGGGTGCAGGACAGGGATTGTTGAGCTGATTGACAGGGCATCTGGTGCCCCCATCTATGTGGCCTGGGAGGAGGTTCCCTGCGTCTTTCGAGGGTCCCTCGAATGAAAGAACCTGGTTGTGGCACGTGGGTGTTGCTCTCCCTGCCCCTCCAGGGCTGGGGGCTCCCCCTGGACAGGAGGACTTGGGGTGCCTGGCTTTGCCTCTCTTGCTGTGAGAAGACCTGGGGCCTGGGAGACCCTGGGGAGGGCCTTTTTCTCCCTGAACCTCAGCTTCCCCATCTGTAAAATGGGCATTTGCTCCCAGGGGCACCTTGAAGAGGATGTGAAACAGTAGGTGTCGGAGGTCAGGGGTGATTGATCTGCTGAATGGGGAGCAAAGAAGAACAACGTGCTCTTGGGGGACATAAATGGGGCTGACACTGGGAAGGGCTGGGACCTGGCCATGGCCCTGTGATAGGGTCCCCAGAGACCCTGTCCAGCTCATGTACCCCTGTCCCCTAGGGGCTCTTACCGTCCAGGGTGGGGATGACGGTCTTCCTCAAGGCCAGGACCAGCCCCAGCGGGCACCCAAAGAGGAAGAGGTCGGCGATCTCAAAGTCGAACTTGCCCAGGGCCCCCACAGCTTCCAGCATGGTAGAGCTGCTCGAGCAGCGGGTGCCAGGCTCGGTCCTCAGCACGCTGGCGTGGAGGCTGCAGGTGGGCAGGGGCATGGGATGTCACACCTGGGCCCCTCTGGGTCACCCTCCCTCGGACACAGGCTGGGGTCTAACGGCTCTCAGGGCTCATCAGGTCCAAGCTAGGCTGAGCTCTGTGCTGTCCTGCCCAGCCCCTTTTGGACCGTCCTGACTGGGCCACGACCCCCAGTAAATTCTGGCATCTGACTCTGCCACCCTCAGCCCAGACCACCCTCAGGACGCTGCTCTGGCGCATGGTGGCCCTGGGCGTATGAGAGAACAAGTGTGCCCTCCAAGCCACCTTCTCCTGCTGAAGGGCCCTGGGACCAATTTGGCTTTCTCAGGACCGGGGCAGGGGAGCGTCCCCTACATGCCTGGCAGGGACGCGAGGGGCCCACGGGGTGGTGACAGGGCCTGGCTTGGGTCTGCAGGGTCCCGTCCTTGGCATCTGATCCCTCTCAGATCCCTTCGGCACCTGGCGATGGCTCCCAAGCCCCATGCACCTGGACAGGAAGGCCTGGTGCTGCCTTCCCTCCCTCTGGGATCCCTGCCTCACCTGGCAATGACCCCCAGCCCCACGTACCTGGACAGGAAGGCCTGGTGCTGCCTTCCCTCCCTCTGGGATCCCTGCCTCACCTGGCAATGACCCCCAGCCCCACGTACCTGGACAGGAAGGCCTGGTGCTGCCTTCCCTCCCTCTGGGATCCCTGCCTCACCTGGCAATGACCCCCAGCTCCACGTACCTAGACAGGAAGGCCTGGTTCTGCCTTCCCTCTCTCTGGGATCCCTGCCTCACCTGACGATGGCGCCCAGCCCCACCCACCTGGACAGGAAGGCCTGGTGCTGTTGGATAGTGTCCATCTCATAGGTGGACGAATCGCTCCTCTTTCGGGGTAGCTGCCTCTTGGCGTCCTCGGCGCCGTTGCTGCGGGGGATGTCAATGCTGCTGCGGCTCAGTTGCCGGCTGCTCTCCAGGCTGGAGCCTCCGGTGCCGCCACCGCTGGAGCAGTGTGCCGCATTCACCAGGATTCCCGGGGACAGCAGGTCAGCGTCCTGGAATGGCCCACTCAAGGTCACTGCAGGCCCGCGCTGGCCTGGGCCCTTCTGCAGCATCTAGGCAGCTCCCCCCAGCCCCCAGGACCTGCTGGGCCCCACTGGCCTCTCCTCTGACCCCTCGAGGGGCAAGCACTGCACCTCAGCTCTGCCCCCTGGCCATGTCCTAACAGACTCATTCTGGGCTGGACTCGCCACCTGACCTGCATGATTCAGAGCACACCTGCCTGCTCCCACCATGAGCCACCCTGCACTACCCTGATCGCCTCTGCCTGCAGGAAGCCCAGAGGCCATCGCCTCTCCCTGAAAGTTCCAGGCTCCCCGACAGAGCGCTGTTCATCCCCTGCTGATTCCACAAGTGCTTGGAGGGGAGTGGGACTCTGAGAAATCCCTGACCATGGGGGCGGGGCAGGCGACATGGGATCTACTCTCCCTGCAGTCGGGCGCCTGCTCTGTGTCATTCTCAGGGACTGTAGGCCTCTGTGAGAGACATGGTCCCTCCTGGAGGAGGGAGGGAAGGGCACCCTGTGCCCGTTTGGGGGCCACGGGAGGCTGGGTACCTGCACGCTGGCCACGCTGCCCCGGCGGCTGCTGCTCTGGCTCTCGGACACGGCCTGGCTGCTGTGGCACAAGGCGTCAAAGGCCAGGATGCCCCCGACACAGTCCCCAATCAGGCAGACCTGCAGGCAGGGAGGCGCAGCCTGAGCACCTGCCAAGCTTGCCTTGGATGGGGGCTGAGGAAGGCGGCACCCTCTGCCTCAGGCCAGCCCACCCCTCACTCACCTGCCCGCTGAAGGTCACGCCCTCCTGGGACTTGATGAAGTCCCCGTAGGCGAGGTTGGCCCGCTGGATCACCGTGGCAACTGCCTCCTGGTACTGGGGCGAGGAGGTGGCCAGCAGGGGCAGTGCGGCCAAGGGGATGTGGTCCTGGCTGCTGGACAGACAGCCTTCATCGTGGCTGTAAGGGCTGAGGCTGCGGAGGAGGAGAGTCATGTGCGAGTAGGTGATTTCAGCTCTACTCAAAGGGCCCCTGCCATGGACAGCACTGCAGACAGGAGCTGCCGGCCACCCCAAGAGCCTCAGCCACGGACTCAGCAAACACACTTGGGGACACTTCCGGGTTTGATCCTGGGCAGGCGTGGGGCCACAGGACCAGGGGGTAAGACCCAGTCCCTGCCCCTGGCATGGTATGAGCCTGCTGATTTCACTAGTACCATGAACTCACAAAGCATTTCACATTTGTGACCTGTCTCCCAGATGAGCCACGGCCAGGTAAAAATCATCCCGAGTTACAGATGTGGAAACTGAGGCTCAGTACTCTGCCTTCCTGGATTTGAAGCCTGCATTGTGTGCGCTGTCTCGGGGCAGAGGGGGTTGGACTTCCGGGTGGGGTCCCGAACCCGGGCAGTCGCCTGAGGCTCAGGGCCACCTCCTTTCCTGCCGTCGCAGGCAGGCCCACTCACTTGGAGACAAGGGCAAAGGCGTCAGAGCAGACGGGCGGGCAGGGCACCAGGCGGATGGCAAGGCGGCCCAGGGCGGTGGGGTAGTGCACGCGCATGACAGTGTCAAACACGGTGGCGATGGTGTTGGCGTCGCCCTGCTTGGAGCTGGGGTCCCCGGCGCCTGTGTCCAGGATGGTGCCCCCGTGCAGCAGCAGCAGCAGCACATGCACCTTGGAGGGCGGTGCGGCCAGAGGCTGGCTGACCTCATCCTGTGGGAGGGGAGCGTGTCAGGTCCCTGTGCCAAGGCCCTCCATCACCCCGGGGCAGGCCGGTCCTCATCACTCCCTCTGGGAAGCCTGATTTCAGTTACGCGGTTACAGGGCCTGGTGTTGAGATGCCCCAACCCTCTCCCACGGAATCGGAAGGGACTGGGGACCAGGCGAAAAGCAGGCGGCCAGGGTGGTCCTTTCCTCTTCCTGAGGCCCTGCTACCCACTGTCGGCCTGGCCACAGGCACAGAAGACACGGAGGTTCCTGTCCCTTCAAAAGCACAAACCCCGCTTCCCATCACTGACCCAGGCAGGGGCTCTGGGGCTGCCCTCAGGGCCAGTACCCGGGGGTCTGCCTACTCTCTGCGTGTGGTTTTTGTGCATGGGTCTGTCTGGCTCCAAGCAGACAAAGCCCCTGCTAGGGTCATTTGGAGAATGGTTGGGGTCCTGGACCTCACCCTGGGCCGGGCAGTGACCCTGGCTTCTCTTTCTCTTCCATTTACACAGGGGGCTCCTCTCCTGGCCACCAAACCCACAGGACCCCCATTCCCGACTGTCTCTTAAGACCCAGGTCCCTGAGAGTGGGGCTGGGGGTTGGGGGAGTGAAGTCCCCAGAAAGCGGGGTGAGGGTGGGGGAGCGAAGGCCCTAGATCCAAGCTGCCCTCACTCACCAGGGGTAAAGGTCTTGGCCTTCCTGTGGGCCAGGCCTGCCTGCGTGTCAGCTCAGACACAAACATATCTCCATGCGGTCTGGGACTATCCCTTAGAGACGAGGTGGTGGTGGCCCAGAGTGGCCAAGGGGTTTGTCTGATGTCACACAGCACATCAGTGCCAAGGTAGCCTGGGGCCCAGAGTGCCTGTTGCCAGCTCAGTGCCCTCTCTGCCAAGCCAGGCTGTGACCCCATCCCCAGGGGCCTTCGCTCTGAGCCCCAGTGTGTGACTGGGGGAGGGCCGGGGCCCAAGGGGGTCCCACTGGTGAGTACTTGCCGAATCAGGTCAGAAGGCCTAGGGGGGCGGAGTGGGAAAGGGAGTTTACAGGGAGATCCTGCCCCAACGAACCGGGGGACAGACCAAGGGCTGAGTCATCTGGAGGGCATGTGGTAGGGAAGCTGGCCCTGAACTGGCTCCGAGTGGGTGGGAGGCACGAGGGCAGCAGGACTGGGGTCAGTGCGAATGCTGGGAAGGGTGGGAAGTGTGGGGTTCAGGAGGGCTGTCAAGGCAGCCCAGGACACACAGGGGGATGGGCCTCCTCTGGAAGCCGCTAAGCAGCAGAGAGAAAGAGTGAAAAATCAGGGCCGGAGCAAGAGAGAAAGGGAAGGGGGTTGGTGTGTGGGACTGGGCCTACGGTGTACCTACGGCTGCCCAGGGGAGTTGGTCATGGGCAGGACCTGCTCCCCAGGCCTGGGCAGGACCCTACACCTGGCCGACTTGGGCTAGACCTTGTCCCCATACGATACCTGCCCTGTTGCTGGCCTGAGCGAGGATACATTCAGAGCCCAGTGCAGGGGGCACCAGCTGGCCAAAGCCACAGGCCAGTGTGGACCCACTGCCAGCCCTGATGTGGCCATCCAAGGGGCTCCCCAGCACAGCAAGAAAAGGGCTTGAGGACAAAACGTCCCTGTTAGAGTCAGCCCAGCAGCACACGGTCACCAAGAACAGGTGGGACTGGGCGGGCAGGGGTGTAGAGGGGACCCCGTATGGGGAGGACAGGGACTGTTCAGAGACCCCTCCCCAGGCCTGTCTGAGATACTACCTTCCTCACAGTCACCTGCTCTCTATACCCTGCGACACAGTGAGTTATTTAATATGGCCTTTCTACCCATAGTCTGGAATCACAGTCTTTGTGACTTCCTCAAAATAATTGGGAGGAACTACACAAATAAGGTGCTTATGGTCCACCAAGGGGATTGGAAAGCTTGCTAACAATGCAGATAAGGTGCGTGGAACTCCTGTGGGGGTGGGACCATGCAAATAAGGTGTATGGAACCCTAACGAGGGGATTGGTTAGTTTTGCCATCCTGCTAGGCTTCAAAGAGAGCCAATCCCAGAGTGGAGGGGGGACCTCACTACCACCAAGAAGAAGACATGGGAGCAGAGTGTGTCCTTTGGACCTGGGGTGCCTATGCTGAGAACCTTCTAGACCCAGGAGGCAGAGAGAGACAGCTGTTAACACTGGAGATGGCACAAGATGGTGAAAATTGGCAACAGAGAAACAGCAGCAGCAGAACCAGGAGACCGGCGTGAGACTGTGCAGTGGGTTTCCCAGCCCACAGAGCAAGGTGGTTACAGTAAGTGCACCGACCCACAGAACGAGAGAGCTGAGCACCTTCGGGGTCGAGGCTTACTGGGGGAGTAGGATGCCCCTGGGCACTTACTGGCAGAGCTAAAGGGCTTTGTAACACTTGCCTGAGTAGGACAGAGGCCAGCCCAAGAGGCCTGAGGGGCTGAGGGCCAGAGAGAGGCCTGCCTACAGGCACCACTGAGAAAAGGCTGTCCTGATCTAAGAACTATATCGTGAGTTGTTCCTGATCCTGAACTGTACCTGTTACTTCCTTAATAAACCCCATAATCATGAGTATGGTCTGTGAGTCCTGTGTGGCCACTGCAATGAATTATCAAACCAGCAGAGAAGTAGAGTGCCATGGGAGGGATGGCTGGTGTCAGAACTGATAAAAAGGTTGGAGAGCGGAGGTATGTCTGATCTCCACCTCATAGGAATCAGCCTTGGGCTGTTGATACCAACAATGATTCACCTCTCCCCTTTTCGAAGTTAGATGATGAGGTCCCACGCCCCCTCGCCATTCTTAACATACCTGGAACCTACACAGCCCCACAGCCCAAGGCACCTGCTCCCTTGCCCCAAACACATGGCTGCCTGGGAGCCTGGGGACTGCTCTAGAGAGCAGGGATCCCAGTGTCCTGGATCAGTGTCTCCATAGAGCTGCCCAGAGCACAAGGCCGGGAGAGGAGGCTTTGCAACCAGTCCAGTTAGGGGTTCTTGCAAGCCAAGGGATCTGACTCTGGATGGCACCCCGAGCTGGAGCTGGGTTCTGGAAGGCTATCCAGAGGCAGGTCTGGAGCCCGAGACCCTGGCCCCTCCCTGGGGGGAGTCAGAGCTGTGTGCACCAAGGCAGGGAGGGGAGCTCACTCCCTTTATGTAGCCACTAGGCAGCAATTAGAACTCAACGCCCTCACCCCAGTCAGCCCTTCTAGAAAAGCTCACCAACCTCCAAGCGGAGACCCCAGGAAGTGGGGAAGGTGGTGTGGATGCCCCCTCCACCCCCCAGTTCAAACTCCCTGGAGTCCAGTCCCCGGGTGTCGTCTCCATCTGGGGCAGCCCTGGCTCCTGCCCTGATGCAAACAGCTCTGACGGCCCGGGGGGAGGAGGAGGCGCAGCTCTGCAAAGAACCCCACGGGACACGCAAGTCACCAATGCAGCTTTATTGGACACACTGAGCCCCCCTCGGGTGGCCTGCCACTGGCAGCCACAGTGGCCGTCACTTCTGCCTACATGGCCTGGGCTTCCTCCTCCTCCCCTTCCATCCTTTCATCTTCATCACGCAGGTTGGGAAGAAGGCGATGATCTTATTTTTGATCTGGAATTTACAAGTTCTTCCTTTTACTTTCCTAGGTAGGGAGCCCATTGGGGTCTTCCACCTTTGCTTCTCAGGGATCCCAGGGATGCCTGGGGACATCCCCCCAGGAAGATGGCAAGTATGGGGTTGGGGAGGCCTCTTCCTGAGCCTGGAACACAGGCTGGGCTGTGCAGGGGTCTACGGGACCTGTCCCCTCCCCGCAGCCTTGGCCACCCAGGCACCCACCTCCATGATGTTCAGCTGCTCCACGCTGGAGTCCACCCTGAACCCGGGGGTGTTCTGCCGATACAGACCTTCTGCAACACAGAAGCGAGCTATGAGCCCGGGAGGGCAGGGGTTTGGGGTCGGGGGAAGGAGGCACCGCCGGGGGCTGCGATGGGGCCACCCAGACTGAGGCGTGGCCCTGAAGAGGGGAGCTTGGAGTGGGGGAAGGACGCCCTCCCCCCACTCCAGCCCCTCCCCTGGGTCCAAAGCAAGGCTGGGGTCCAGGTCTGAGGGAGCCGCTCTCCTCTCCCCGCCAGTACCCTGTGCGTCTTCGGGCGCTGGGCTTTCGATTTTGTCCATGAGGTCGTTGGAGTTCCATTTACTGATGTCCTTAGGGAACATGTCCTCCGAGTCAGACAAGTCCTCTGCAGAAGGGGGCAGGGGGACAAGAGAGAGTGGGGCTTCAGGGGAAGGCAGGGACACGGGCTGTGGCTGGAAGCCCAGGCTTCCGGAGGCCAGCAGGGGCCAGGATCCGCTGTGCAGCAGGTTCCTGTACCTCACTGGCCTGCGTGCCCCATCTGCTCACCCCACCTCTGCCCCTCCGTGATGTGCCCGGTGTGCTCCGCACCCCGGCGCACGCTCCCTTACTAACAGGCCTGCACACTCGCCCCTACACCTCCAGGGCTTGTTCCTGACAGTTTTTCAAGGGCCAAGAAAGTTCAGCTTAGTAAGAAGTGCTGCTACAGACCTTTCCTAAGTGACTCTTGCTTCCCGCGAGGGTGTTGCCTGCGGCCCTGGGTTGGAGGCCGCAGTCTGGGCTCCGACCATGGGCTGGCTCCCCGAGTCCAGCCGTGGGGTGATGCCCGGCTGTCCCCCCAGCACACTGCCACCCCGCGTCTCTTCTCTCACTCTCCGCATGTCAGGGAGGGGCCGGGCCTCTTGGCCGCTAAGGCCTGACTCGGAGTGGGGGTGTGTCCAGGAAGGCCTGGTGCAGAGATGACTCAGCAACCCTGGTTCCAGGCCCTTTGGACCCAGGACCCAGCCATGGCACCTGCCTTTAGCCTGGGCACTGACTCCCCAAGGTTTTTCCCAGCCAGCCTGTTAACCAGCTGCAATTCCGGGAGGCCTCCCACTCCAAGCCAGGGAAGCGGCTCGAGAGGCTGGCCTGCCCTGCGCCTAGAGGCAAATACCGGCCAGCTGCTTTCCTGCCATGTAGACGAGGGACTGCCCGGGCACCAGGCCAGTGGCAGGAGTCGGTCTCCCCGGGTCTGCTCTTGGCCCCTCTTGCTTTCTGAGGGGCGTCCGGGTAACAGGTAAATGCTTTGTTCTGTTTGTTTTGTTTTTTGCATTTGATTCTTTACGGCAGAGGTGATTCATTCATTGCGCTGATTTTGGGTTAACAGAAAATGGCAATTTATATATTTTCTGCTTGTTTGTATTTTCTAAAGTTTCTACATTAGACATGTATTACTTAAGGAAAAATAAGGTAATTACAAAAAGATATAAAAGTATACAAAGTTATACTTTTGCAAATCTTATAGAAACAAATTCACATCCTAGAAAAAAGCCCAGGTCTGATTACGTATCTATTTTGGGAGTCTGGTTGTTTGGTCTGCACCCGCCAGGCCCACTGCACATCCTGGTATTCTCTTAGGATGGGCCTGAGACCCCAGACTCAAGGCAGCCAGGCCTCCTGGTGGCTTCATCTCATCCTCTCTACCACACTGTTCACCCAGAACTTTCTATAGGTGATTCCCACCTCAAATCAACATCCCTACCCCAATCCCTTCCAGACCCCCCGACCTATCCCAGGAGACACCTCCCTGGGGGGAGCCCACCTACCGTGGGCATCGAAGAACTCATCGTCGGAGCTCTCGTCTGAGTCCCTGGCAATACTCTGCATTCTCCACTCTGAGATGCTGTGGCGAGAAGGACTCGCTGGAAGGCAAAACCCAGACTAACCACTCAGCCTGCCGAGGGCAAGGGGCAGCAGCTTCCCCCAAGGCCAAGGTGCTCTATAGAGCCCAGGGGCTCGGGAAGCCGGCAGGGGAGCCTCATGCACCTGAGCAGGGCATTGGCAGATGGTGGCTGCCGGAATCAGAGGCTTCGACTACCCTGGGTGGACGGGGCCAGGGCAAGGACCAGGAAGACTCTGGGAGATGCAGTGAGCCTCCTAGATCTTTCCGACAACCCCTCTCCCAGCCTGCTGGTCACATGCAGCCAGGGTCTCCCAGAGAGAGTGTGGTGGTATGCGTGCTCAGGGAGTAAGCTGAGAATGGGCAGTCAGACAGGTGGGGGGCGGGGTGCCCTGTGATTTGCTGCCTGCTGCTGACTCTGAGCAAGTCTCCTACAGAGGAGCTGGCCAGTGGGGCGTCCAGGTGGGCAGGACTGGTGGGAGTTCATTAGATAAAAGGTGTAGACGCAAGCACTGTCAAGAGTCTCTCTGGCACAGGGGCAGAAGCTGAAAGCAGCTGGGAACGGGGAATCTGGATTTGCGGAGGGGGTTCCTATCTTACACAGGATGCCTGTTTGATTCTTTTTCTCAGAAGGACAGCACTTTCACAAAGCTCCCTGAGAAGGGCCTTTTCCAGGATCTAAAACCTTGTAGGCCCTTGAACCTGCTCCCTGACTCAGGAGCAGAAACTCCCTCCCCACCAGGCTGGGGCCCTGGAGAGGCTGGGAGCTGGGACTGCTGCACCGCCCGGCCTGCCTGTCGTACCCTGGGCTGTACGGGTGAGTCTGGGGAACCCACCCAGGGGAGGCGCCTGGCTGCACTCAGATGGTGGACAGCCAGTCTGACACCAAACTGGAAAGAGGAGAAGGTTCTGACTCCCTACAGAGTTAGTCCCGGCTGGTGTGAAAGCAAGAGTCTGTTTTCAGTGTTGGAATTATCTGGGCAGGGCATGGGCTGCCGTGGGAGGGACGGAGGAGGGAGGGCTCTATCACCCGGGTGCACAGCATAGAGCAGACACCAGCCTGGAGAGAGGGGGCACTAGACACCCTTTGGGCCCTCGTGAACCCCACTTCTGTCTCAGCGTTCACCACCAGCACTGTGGGGGTGAGGGGGGTGAAGGGGGTGAGGGGTGGCTACGTGAACTCACCTCCCCGCTTGGATGACCGCGATGACTTGGAGGACGTGGACCACTGCTTCTTCAGGCCCCGCCCTGCCAGAGGCTCCCCGTTTTTGTTGCTGCTGGGCTCGGCAGGCTCCCTGGAGGCCTGGTCCTGGGCGGCTTCTTCTCTGGAGAGCTCCATGGTCTCGTCCTCATCCTCGCTGAACTGGGCCATCTTGCGGGAGAGCATGAGCTGCGCCTCCTTCTCCAGCTCCCGTATCTTCTCCATGCTCAGGCCGTACCACTCGTCCTGCCAGCACCAGGCCTGCCTGTGGGCCCGCACCATCACCCTCCGCAGGCCTGGAGCCCACCCAGCACAGGATGGAGGGAGAGAGGAGGGGAGAGGGAGAGAGGGAGAGAGGGAGAGAGATGCAGACAGGGAGAGAGAGGGAGAGGGAGAGAGAGACACTCAGAGACAGAAAGAGAGAGGGAGAGAGATGCAGACAGAGGGAGAGAGGGAGACCTCAGAGACAGAGAGAGGGAGAGAGACACAGACAGAGAGGGAGAGGGAGAGAGAGACCTCAGAGACAGAAAGAGAGAGACAGAGAGACACAGATGGGGGAGTGAGGGAGGAGAGACAGAGGTGGGGGGAGAGACAGAGAGAGAGAGGGAGAGAGACACAGACAGACGGGTGGGAGTCGGGGGTGGAGATGGGGGGAGAGACAGAGAGAGACATTGGGGCAGGGAGAGACACAGAGAGAGAGGAGTCAGGCCACAGCTGGCCCAGAGGCCCTCTGAGCCTGAGTTGGGCTAGGTCAGCCCCCAGTGTTGCCGGCTGGGCTCTGACCCCACTGGCTGAGCGGCTGAGCGGCTGAGCGGCTCAGTTTCCCTTTCTGTGAAATGAAGGGACTGGATCAGATGGTCTCTAAGAGCCTTCCCAGCTGCAGCTCACAGGGAGACTACAATGACAGTGGAGGGGCCTCCCAAGGTATCTGATCCGAAGCCACACTGAACTTTGGGTAGGGTTCCTGTCCCAGGAGGAAGCTGGCGTACAGCTTCCCTAGAGTCTCTTGTCTCTCTGTCTGGTGCACTTTTCCTAATTTCCCATAAAAAATCAAGTTCTAACAAGGTTGGCCCTACTTTTTTTTTTTTTTTTAAATACATTTAATAAAATATATTGTAAATATAAAGCAAAATATTTAAGATATACAAAAAAAAAAACAAAAAAAAACACCCCAACAAACAACCAAACCCATTGCCGTCAAGTCAATTCTGACTCATAGTGACCCTATAGGACAGAGTAGAGCTGCCCCATAGGGATTCCAAGGAGCGGCTGGTGGATTTCAACTGCCGACCTTTTGGGCAGCAGCTGAGCTCTTAACCACCGCGCCCCCAGGGCTCCTTTCAGCTAGTAGTCAAGCGCTTAACCATCTGTACCACCCAGGGACTCCTTGGGGGGTGCGCTACACGTGCTCCAACAAGACCCAGGCCGTGAGTCTCTGGAGGCAGGGCCCGGGGCCCCTTGGCCCGACGTACACACTGCTTGTCCACAGCAGGTGCTCAGTCACTACACAGAAACGGTTTGGACGCGCCATAGTCGGAAGCTGGGCGTGTACTCGGGGTTGCCTTTCGGGAATAAGATGAAAAGGCAGCATCGCAGGGGGAGAGACAGGCAGGCAGAGCCACGGGCCAGACAGACAGGCTGGCAGGCGGGTGGCTCACCGGTGTCATGGATGAACCTCTCGATCTTGGACTGCATGCCCCAGTAGCGGAACTCCACCTTGCAGAGCTTATAGGCGCACATGATGGGGAAGACGTGCTTCTTGTACTCCTCGATCCAGTTGTCAGACAGGGGCCCCCGCTGGGTCTTGGTGGAGTGGAACAGCTTGGGGTCCTCTTCTGTCTTATACTCACTGGGGGGGATGGAGTCCTTGACAATGTCGATGAAGTCTGTGGGGAGACGAGGAGAGTGGCCACCTCTGCTCAGACCTCGACCCCGGCCTTCCTGTCCAGTTGACTCCCCCATGTCTCTCTAGCCCCAAACCCCTCCAGACACTGAGAGAACACATTTCTGCTGCTGTAAGCCACCCAGTTTGTAGTCCTTTGTTACAGTAGCCACCAGGAGCTCATATAGCACCCACCCCAGGCTGCCCTGGAGCCAACTCCGGGGGGTCGGGCTGCCTCTCCAGGGGCAGATGAGCTCCTGCTGAGATGCCTGCATGACACCTTCCCTTCCTGGGGACCCTGGGGTCCGGGGGACCAGAGGCTGCACACTGGCAGCTGCTAAGTTCAATCTCACCCACACACGTGCTTTGTTTGGCTGGCACATGATCGTTATAAAAGTTTTAAAATTAGTTGTCAACTTTTAAGAACTGGGACTTTTTCACATGAAAATTCTGATTTATGGCTTCTCTTGGAAAAGAAGAGTCAAGCAATGAGGCCATATTCCTGCATGGTAGAAATCAGCAGGAGGGGGTGGAGCGGAGGCTGCCCGCCATCAAGGGGACGGGATGGCCCTGCCATTTGCCACTATCCCTACCCACCCGCTGCCCTCACTCCTGCCTGTCACCTGAGACAGGCCCCTGGGAGTAGGCACACTGTCAACTGTGACCGCCGTTACACTGAGAAGGGATGGAGAGAAGGGGCCCCACAAGGGCCTGGGAAAGGCACTGAGCCTCAGTCTGCAAATCAGGAAAATGGGGAGAGGATGCCTGTCCTGCTCCCTCCTGGTGCCCATGCCTGCTCAGATTCTGACTCCTCCCCACCCCAGCCCAGACAAAGGGCAGAGCTGAGAGGGGCATCTGGGTGGGAGGCCCAGAACATGGCCACGCCAGGGCCCATGCGCGCCCGAGCCGGGAACGTGGCCATGCCAGGGCCCCTGCCCGCCCGAGGTGGGAACGTGGCGGGGAACACTTACCGATCGTCAGCTGGCTCTTTTCTGCAGGAGACAAGCTGAACACGGCGGGGTTTTCTCCAGCATCGGCTTTATAAAAGGTTTCGATGTCAATGGAAAATTTCTCCACAAAAGGGCACGTGAACCTGTGAAAGAAGGAAAGTATCCATAGGAGCCGCTAACAGCTGTGCTCAGAGGGGCCACGGGAGAGCCAGCCAGGGCCCGGGGGGACCTAGCGGGGGAGCAGGCCTGCCCTGGGGGCTCTGGTCCTCATGGGAAGGGAAGGAGGGGGACCTGAGACTCGTCTGTCCCATCCCACCTCCTGGGCCTTCATCTTGTCCCAGTAATAGTCAAGGCCAGGTCTGGAGAGTGGGCTAAGGGAGACGATGAAGAAAGCTGGTGTCCTGAGCTGCTTCTAGAAGGCCTGCGTGCTCACATCCCATGTGCAAGCCAGAACACAGAATATACAAGTGCCCACAAGTGACAGTGCTGAATCTGTCCCTGTCCTCAATGTGACGTGCCCCCGCTGCCAAAGCCAGATGGGAAAGTGGCCGCTGGGACAGGGAGAGCTCAGCGAATGCCCCGGCCAGCTGCAGGCCCTCAACCAGTGTGGGGCAGGCATGCGGGGAGCAGACCCCCACCCATTCCCATGCAGCAGTGCTCTGTAATGCCTGGGAGGCAGAGTGAAGACTCCCCTTCTGGGGAGAACCCAAAGGGCACCCTGCTCGACTGGGAGTGGAAGGAAACATTCTGTAAAGCCAACAGTCTCAGGGTTCGAGGGGACCTAATCCTGTCTGGCCTCTCGGGACTCTCACTTGGTCTGCTTCTTCCCAGCAGGCTGCCTGTCCCAGCCTTTTCTTGGGGAACGGTAAAGTGATGTGGATCCCGAGCCTTCCCCGGATGGCAAAGGCGCCTTGCAGTCAGCCCCCTTGACCCATGGCTTGGTGGCCTCCTCCCCTGCATGGGCTGGAAGGCATTGAGGGCTGTACCCTTTACTCTCCTGCCTGTGCCTCGAGGGGGACACTGGGGACCTTCAGGGTACCACCCAGAATAGAGGCTCAGCTCCCCTGGGCCTGCCTACTGGTTCCAGCCCCAGGATTCATGCAGTTCCCCTGGTCTGGGTGTAGCAGTGTGTCTGGGGGTCCAAGCTCAGGATCCAGGGGGCTCACCTGGTTCAGGTCTAGGGGTGTACCTAGGGGGTCTCAGCCTAGGATCACCTGGTTTAGGTTTAGGGGGTATCTGGGGACTCTACACCGGGGCCAGGGCGGCTCACCTGGACCAGGAATAGGGGTACGCCCAGGACCGGGGGAGCTCACCTGGTCCGGGTGTAGGGGTGTGCCCGGGACTGGGGCGGCTCACCTGGTCCGGGTGTATGGGTAGGCATTCCAGGACTCTTCCACCACCCGCAGGGCCGCCTTGGGCAGGATGGAGCGGAACCAGCCAGGGATGTGCATGCCCACGTGGTACACCTTGTGTGTGTACTGCCCGGAGCCGCCAGGGCCGTCTGAGTACGGCCGGTTCTCCAGGATCTCCACGCCGCTGCCTTCGCCATACGTCTCGTTGCGGCTCTTCTTCTGCGGAGACAAAAGCCCAGGCGTCTCCAGAGGGCGCTAGGCACAGAGCTCTCTGCAGAGGGGAAGGGGCTCACAGAAGGGGGCTGGGGGAGGGGAAGGGCTTTGGCCCATGTGGCCGCTTCTCCAAGTCCTTCTTGGGACCCTGTTCAGGCCCAGGCTCCGCGGGCCCCCCAGGCCTTGTATGGGAGCCTGAAAGGGCCATAGATCTCTGGCTCCAGCATCACAAGCTTCCCCCCGATGCCTCAAGCCACGACTCCTGTCCGAACAGACTTCTTTGCAGGGTGATGAAGATGTTCTAAAATGACTGCAGTGATGGCTGCACAGCTCTGATCTTCCAAGACTGAGGTGGCTGAGCCGTGCACTCTAAATGGGTGAATTCACGGTATGTGACTTGTATCTCAAGAAAGCTGCTATCTAACAAAACAAACAAAACCACGTCCTGCCTCTCGTGCTAAGATTTAAGAGAGACCAAGTGCGGGAAGTGGGAGGGGGCCTGGGTGGCAGCATCTGAGATATGACACCTAGGTCATCTCTCAGTGGTTCTGCCACAACCTGCCTTTGCAGTCGCCAAAAGCTCAGGTTTCTGCTCATGTGGAAAACTACGCGTCTGAGGTGCTGGTGACTTTATGCTCAGCATCTGTTCCCATGGTGACATGACATCATCGCCAAGGCCATCTTCGGTCAGCTTCCTGAACAGCAGGTGAACGCAGACTCATTCACACATGTGCACACCCACACGCACACACCCCCACATTAAACACATCCCCACACGATATCCCCCCACATACCCACACTCACAGGCAACACATTCATGCACACCCACCCACACAAAACACCCACCCACGTACCCACACACGACACACCCATGCATACACACCCACACACAATACACCCATGCTTACACACCCATGCACATGCCCTAAGACACACACAGGCACACACCTCCATGTGCTCACACACCCACACTCACGCACACACACCCACGCACATCCACAGATGCGTGTGCACAGAGAGGCACTCCCAATGGCACAGCCCTGCTGCCAACGTCCCCACCTCTTCCTGCTGCCTGACAGCGGGGCCGTGACCCTCTCTAGGTATGAGATGAGTCATGCCTCCCTGGCTCAGAGCGGCTGAGTCCCTTCAGAACAAAGATGAGAAGAATGTGTAGGTCTGGGGTCTCTCTGGGCTGAGGTGGGATGCCGGCCAGGACAGAGAAAGGACAGGGGATGCTAGAGGGAGTCAAGGCAGGGGTCCTTACACCCTGGCCACCCAGGCAGACCTCTACCTGAGTCCTCCATCTGTCCCAGCTGGGCGGCACCCATGACCAACTCCTGAGATTGAGCCTGCCCATCTGGCAAACGGTAGCACCGTCCTGATGTTCCACATGGGCCCAAAAGGTGAGCTCTGTGCTATCAGGAGTTCTCACCGTCTCCCACCCAGCCCCTTCCCTCCAACAGGAGCCTTCCTTAAACACCACATTCCACAGCCTGCGACTGACTCTGCCTGACTCTGCGGGTGGGCTGAGCACACCAACCCTAACTCGTCACCCACCAGGGGACTTCAGGTGCGCCTGTGGGGGGTGGGGTGGGCGGTAGAGCTGTGTAGTGGAGAAAGCTCAGGCTTTAGGGTCAGATGAGGTGAGGAGGGGGGCGTCTCTGCTCCAATAGTAACAGTTGTGACTTCACAGAAGGTAAAAGACAGGTGGACTAGGTGATCTCAAAGCCTTCCACTCCAGCTACAGAGCATGGACGAGGACAAGGCCACATGTCAGGACACAGCCTGATTCGGGGGCCCGCTGTGCGCCCGTGGGCAAGTTCCTTGGCATGTCTGAGACTCAAGTTCCCATCTGTAAGGCACGGATGAACACCCCAGGACAGCGGTCATCTAAAGGTCCCCATGAGGATGACATCAGGTGCTGTGTCTAGGGCTCCTGCACCCAGTCTCCATCATCACCAGCGGTGGTGACAGCTGTAGTTGCTCACGGGAGATGGATGCGGTGGGCTGCTTAGGGGACGCGAAGGTCATGGTCAGCATGCAACAAGCCAGTGGCACCTAGCCTGACCCCAGAGGCTCTCCACACAGAGCCTAGGTGAGCTTGGTTGAATGACTAAATGTCACCAGTCCCCTCTGATCTTGGGTGCATCCCCATACTGTAAAGCTGGCATTGCAAAAGGCAGCCAGCCGTCCCCAAACAGAAGGCACCCAAGTGGGGAGGTTCCTTGTGGTCCCGCAGCAATTCTCCGTCATATCACAGAGGAGCCAGCTCTTCCCGACATGGAGTCACCCCTCACTCCTGCTGGTGATTCCTTGGCACCTCACAGAGCCAGCGGTCCCACAGCAGACAGGCCTGGCTCCCCGGAGCATGCACACCCTGGGGCAGGCTGACCTGACCCCCTACCGCTCTGCCCGAACAGGCTGGAGGACGGCCCACTCCTTGCCCAGGACCTGGGGGCTGCCCGGAAGAGGCCGCACCACCATGGGGCTGGTGTGGAGAAAGCAAAGACCCAAGGTGGCCAGCTCTTCAAAAACAGGAGGCTCCAGGTGTGGCGGGGCAGGGCAGGGGGACTACCAGGTTGTTGGCAAGCCTGCAGCGGATGGAGCTAGAGGGCACAGTGCCCCATCCCAACCGCCTCAGAGCTGTCCAGGGTCCTGGCCATGCCGCCTGGTGAGTGGACGGCCCCTCTTGTTCCCACCTCCTGTTTGTTAACCCTTCACAGCACAGAGACTGAGCCTTGGACAGGCACCGGGCTGGGCACTTCCACTCGGGCTCACTCAGTGCTTAGAGCAACCTCACAGAGTGGGCGGCTGGTTCGCAGAGGAGGCCTGTGCCCGCTCAAAGCACAGCCGGTCAGTGGCAGAGATGGGACATGTCCTCCCCACTGAAGGCCTGGCCACCTAAAGCCCAGGGTAGAACGCAGGCTGGAGCGCGTCCGACTCTGTGGGAAGCCCATCCCCCACTCCGTGCTTGCTGTAAGGTGGCTGCAGACCCTGTGTGTCCCCAGGAGTGCTCCTGGAGAATATCAGGTGTTTGTCGATCAACTCCATCCCCAGCCCTCAGCACAAAGGAGGGCACAGAGGGATTGGTGAATTTAACTTTTTGTTATGGATTAAATTGTGTTCACCCAAAATATGTGTTGAAGTCCTAATCCCTGTACCTGTAAATACGACCCTGTTTGGAAATAGGGGGCTTCTTTTGTTATGTTAATGAGGTCATACCAGAGGACAGTGAGTCCTAAACCTAATCACTTCTGAATTATAAAAAACAGCGGAATAGACACAGAGACACACGTGGGGGAGGCAGATGCCAAGAACTCCCAAGAATGCCTGGGGCCGCCGACAAAAAGGACCTCCCCCTGAAGCCACACCCTGAATCTGGACTTCTCACCTCCTGAACTGTGAGCAAACAGATTTCTGTTCTGTAAAGCCACCACTTGTGGTATGTTTGTTACAGCAGCACACGGTAACAAAGACAGTGTTATTCAGGTATAACTGACACACGACACACTGCACACATTGAATGTGACGAGCTCTGACACGTGTGCCCTGTGTGACCACGGCCATGACAGAGATTGGTCCCTGCAGAAGCCAGTAGGTCCCGCCTGCGGGCAGACAGAGGTGCGGCAGGCGAGCGCTGGAGGCTGGAGGCATGGGGACAGAGAGGGGCACTCCCGGAGCGGCAACATCTCAGTATAGGCTGACGCTCAGTGGGTGTCTCGGGGACAGGAAGGGCCAGGTGATGGCTTGAGCTTAGGGCCCCTCCCCACGCCCCCTGCTGCTCTGCCCTCAGCCCTACTCAGGCGGCTTCTCAGGCACTTCCCTGCAGGGGGAGCAAGGCTGCTGGGAGGAGGCTCAGGGGGTGGACAAGGGGAAAACACTCAGCAGTCCCCCCCTCTGCACCTCCACCAAGGTGGCGATTTCCTCGAAACACTGCCTCCTCACCGTCTAGCAGCTCCTTGGGCTCACACACAAGGTGCCCCCCCAAGTTATCACCTCCACCCCTGCAATTCCCACCTCTGAGGCTGGGCAGCACCTTTCCCCAAGCACCCTCAGGAGCCCCAGCACTCTCCAGGGCCTTTGAGGCTGCCTGGGTACTGGCTGGGAGCCACGGAGTCTGAGTTCTGACCCCGGCTCTGCCGGCCTCAGTTTCCCCATCTGTAAAACGGGAAACTGGCCTATAAGAGCCCTTCTGGGCAGATGCTCTATGAGGGCTTGCTTATGTGACAGACAAAGAAACGGAGGCTCAGAGAGGCTCAGTCACTTGTTCACCATCCCTTCACTAGCAAAAGGCACAGCTAGACCTCTTAAGCCAGGGTCACTCTGACCCCAAAGCCTACTCTCAACAACACACTACAGGGGACCTGGTCTTAGAGGAAGGTGCTGCCCTGTCATCAAGAGCAGTGGAGAGATGCATCACGCCCCTCAGGGCCATGAGTGCATGGGGGGCAGGAGGTGGGGAGGACAACAGTAGCCGGGGCCTGGGATGAACACACACACACACACACACACACACACACACACACACACAGACACACACACAGACACACACACACACACAGACACAGACACACACACAGCCACAGCCCTGTAGGGGCAGACACACAGACCATCACTCAGCAGAGCGCCGAGTGACTCGGGTTCAGTGGGGGAGCCCCACTTGCTACAGGGGAGTCAGCAAAAGCCCAGGGTTTGTGAGGTGGGGAGATGGACGGGAGGCCATGCTGTGATCACCTAGATTCTCTGTCAGAAACCCCCAACCACAGAGGCCTAAGGCCCCAGTGCAGAGAGCACTGCTTCCAGATTGGAGGAAGTCCCATCTGTCTGCCTTGCCTCCACAGGGGCCTCACCAAGGGGGCAGCAAAGCCAGGGTGCTCACACTGTGAGAGCAGGGTAGGGTGCTGTCCCCTGACCTCAGCAGGGCTGGAAGGTGGGCGGGGGCCCTAAGGACTCAGGGAGATGTGACTGCCTGGGCCCAGACTGTGCTGAGGGGTGGCCCAAGGGTCTCCCAGAAGGCTGTGGATTCTTAAAAATCTACATTCACTGGTGGTACAGAGGTGAGTTTTAAAAACACTCAAAAGAGGACGTGGAAATGGCTGGATTTTTCTGGAGCCCAGCATCAGAGGGGAGGAAATGGTCTAGTGAAGCTTGCAGCCGCCCCAGGAGAGAAAGGACCATTGTTGGAGCCCTGCTGCCTCTCGCCCTGGGAGCCCAGTGGAGCTGGGGTGCCTTGGCTGGGCAGGGCCAACCAGTGCAGGACACACAGCTGTACCACAGAACAGCCTGCTCCTGGAAGTGGCTGTATGATTTCCTGAGTGCTCAGGGCCAGGCACTTCCAGTCTGCCTCCCTCTCGCTCTCTAGGAATAATTCAGGGGTAAGTGGTTCAAGAGGGAACTGAGTGGCGCTTCTGAAGCTGCTCAGAGCAAACAGCCCTTGGAGAGGCCAAGCCCCCTCCTGCTTGCTTCCCAGCCAGGCCTCCCAGGTGGGGGAGCCTGGTGGAACCCCCGGCAGCTTCTTCGAGGGCTGCCCAGACAGGACCAGGCGGCCAGGGCTCTGCAGGAGGTTGTCACTAAGTCCCCTAACTGGGTTGAAGGGATGGAAGCCATCAGGCAAATGTGGTGATGGGAGGTGGGGGCCTGCTGGCCAGGGTCCTCCCCTGCACTGACAACTGATAGGATGTCTGATGTGGGGGGCGCAGAGAGAGGCCACACCAGGGCAGCCCACCAGGGAGCAGGCCTAGAGGCAATGAAGGGCTCCGGAGGGCCAGAGCCAGGCCAGGGCCAGGCTACAGCCAGGATGTAATCAGTGTGGAGGCCTGAGCCCCTCATCTTGGAAGAGAGCTGTCGGGCTGGGCACAGGGCTGGGCATGAGGCTCGGCACGGGGCTGGGCCAGGACCCTCGAGAGGGAGTGTGGTCACGTCTGGGCCACTAACAACCGCATCCCGTGCCCTCGGCTCGTCAGGCCCGAGTGGGGGGCCAGCATCATCTCAGGACTGGGGATGTTCTTATCCTGTCATCAAGTGAACCTGTGACTCTGACAACTAGCATGAGTCTGACAGTGCCGTCTGCTGGCAGGGCAGGGTACTGAGGAAGGCAGGACCTGAGACCTGGGAGATAGGCCGTGCGACCTTGGACATGACCTTCACCTTCTCAGGCCTCACACCTGCCCGTCCGTCACATGCGATAACATCGGGATCACCACTGCGGGTGTGTTAAATGTAAGGAAGTGTTAGTATTGGGTGTGCTGGGAGCACAGTTAGTGCTGGTAGAAACCTCGGATGCCGTGAATAGCCACAGGGCTGGCTAGCTCTGTGCCTGCACCGGGCTTGGAAGCCAGACCCCCAGTGCCACTGAGACATTTGTCAGGAGGCCTGGGCTGGCCCCGTGCAGGTGGGAACCCACCTGGATCATGTACAGCTGGGCGATGCGGTACTCTTCCACGGTCATTGGCAGAGGGATCCGGTATTCCTTTATGATCATCTTGGAGACCACGCCTTCCCGTTGATGGGAACTGCAAGCTGGGGACTTCTAGGTGAGGTTCCTTAAATCACCATGACAACACTCACCGAGGACCCCTGGGGAGAGAGGAGGACAGGATGGTCACCACCTATGAAGGCCGTTGGAGACAGTGGCACAGACCTGAGGCGAGAATCCTGGTCTTGGCTGCACAAGGAGCCAAGGGTATGGCCTTGAGCAAGTTCCTTCATCTTCCGGCCTCCCCTGTCCTTGTTTGCTAAGCAATCTTACAGAGCAGCCAGAAGGGCCAGGTAAAGGGCGTGGGTAAACCTCTGACCAGCTGGTGAGGTGTGGAACTCTTAGCCTACCAGCACGGCTGGGCTGTGTGAGGGCAACCTTCTCCTAAGCGGAAGAGCTCCATGCTCTTGTTTTACTCACAGTGCTAAGGCGCTTGGCCTCAGTTTCCACCCCCACAGCACGCTGCAGGACAGTGGCTAGAGGCAGGCACTCAGCTGATGCAAGTACCGATGGCAGGTCACGGGCAAGAGGCAGACAAAGAAAACTATGAAAAACAGACACAAGAAGTCTACAGACCCGCAGCCAGGGACCCTTCAGCACAGGGACGAGAAGTTCTGCCCTGGTCACTCTGTACAGATGGCATGTCTGCTGCATGATCCACAAGGGGGGGTCTTAGGGGTGAGCTCTGTCTCTGGGTGGCACAAACAGTTAAACATTCATTCAACGAGTAATATAAAAGTTGTACATTTGAACCCACCCAGAGGTGCCCCGGAAGAACCTGGCCGATCTGTTTCCAAAACATTGCAGCCATTGAAAATCCTATAGAGTAGTTCTACTCTGCACACACGGGGTCGCCATGAGTTGAAATCGACTTGACAGCAACTGGTGTGGTTTTGGTTTTTTTGATCTGTTGCTGACATTCAAACCCACCAACCACTCCACAGGTGAAAGATGTGGCGGTCTGCTTCCATAAAGATTACAGCCTTGGAAACTCTATGGGGCAGTTCTACTCTGTCCTATAGGATCGCTATGGGTTGGAATCAACTTGACGGCAGTGGGTAATGGGTATTGCTGACACTGGGCCAGATCTTGGAGACAGAAGGGATACAGACTATAACCAATGCACTCACAGTATATCGCTTAAGAGGGCAAACTATAGAACACATCCGATGAAGACTTGCACCTAAACCAATCAAAATCAACAGTCAAGCAGACTTGGTGCTCAAAGGGGGCACCCTCTCCATGTGAAATAACCTGGAATCATCCGTGTCCTAGAGAAAGGAGGCTCTGCTGCAAATACCATTTGGTAACCTCCAGAGACCTATCCCCTGGAAGCTGAGTGTAAGTTTCCAACATGGGTAGGGGCAGAATTGGGATAGTAGTTTAGAAAGATCACTCTGGGGACTGCAGGAGGAACCTGTGAGGACTCACGGTGACCAGAGGCTGGGACATATGCTCAGGGGTGGAAGACCGAGGGCTGGGCCATCAGGCAGCTTCCCCAAGGCAGCACAGAAGCATCACCTGCTCTGAAACATTACTGGATGCCTAACAAGACCACCACCACTCTCAGTCTGTCACACTGTGGTGGCTTTGCATGTCGCTGTGATGCTGGAAGCTATGCCGCTGGTATTTCAAATACCAGGAGGGATACCAATTGTGGACAGCTTTCAGCAAAGTTTCAGACTAAGACAGACTAGGAAGAAGGAGCTGGGGATCTAATTCTGAAAAAATTGGCCAGTGAAAATCTTATGAATAGCAGCAGCACATTGTCTGGTATGGTGTCGGAAGATGAGACCCTCAGGTTGGAAGGCACTCAAAATACTGGGGAAGAGCTGCCTCCTCAAAGCAGAGTCCACCTTAATGACATGGATGGAGTCAAGCTTTCCGGAACTTCATCTGCTGATGTGGCACAACTCAAGATGAGAAGAAACAGCTGCAAACATCCATTAATATTTGGAACGTGGAATGTACAAAGTATGAATCTAGGAAAACTGGAAGTCGAAAATGAAATGGAACACATAAAGATAACTCTCCTAGGCATTAGTGAGCTGAAATGGACTGGTACTGGCCATTTTGAATCAGACCATCGTATGGTCTACTATGTGTGGAACAACAAATTGAGGAGGAAGGATGTTGCGTTCATGGTCAAAAAGAACATTTCCAGATCTATCCTGAAGTACAATGCTGTCAGTGATAGGATCATATCCATACGCCTACAAGGAAGACCAGTTAATACGACTATTATTCAAATTTACACACCAACCACTAAGGACAAAGATGAGGAAATTGAAGATTTTTACCAACTTCTGCACTCTGAAATTGATCAAACATGTGATCAAGATGCACTGATAATTACTGGTGATTGGAATGTGAAAGTTGGAAACAAAGAAGAAGGATCGGTAGTTTGAAAATAGAGCTTTGGTGATGGGAAGCATGCCAGAGATTGCATGATAAAATTTTGCAAGACCAAAGACTTATTCATTGCAAATACCTTTTCTCAACAACATAAATGGAGACTATACACATAGACCTCACCAGATGGAATGCACAGGAATCAAATCGACTACATCTGTGGAAAGAGACAATGGAGAAGCTGAATATTATCAGTCAGAACAAGGCCAGGGGCCGACTGCAGAACAGGGCATCAATTGCTCATATGCAAGTTCAAGCTGAAGCTGAAGAAAATTAAAACAAGTTCACAAGAGCCAGAATATGATCTTGAGTATATACCACCTGAATTTAGAGACCATCTCAAGAAAAGATTTGACACATTGAACACAAATGACCAAAGACCAGACAAGTTGTGAGATAACACCAAGGACGTAATACATGAAGAAAGCAAAAGGTCATTAAAAAGACAGGAAAGAAAGAAAAGACCAAAACGGATGTCAGAAGAGACTCTGAAACTTGCTTTTGAATGTAGAGCAGCTAAAGCGAATGGAAGAAATGAAACTTGCTTTTGAATGTAGAGCAGCTAAAGCGAATGGAAGAAATGATGAAGTAAAAGAACTGAACAGAAGATTTCAAAGGGCAGCTCTAGAAGACAAAGTAAAGTATTATAATGAAATGTGCAAAAACCTGGAGTTAGAAAACCAAAAGAGAAGACCACTTGGCATTTCTCAAGCTAAAAGAACTGAAGAAAAAAATTCAAGCCTGGAATTGCAATTTTTAAGGATTCTATGGGCAAAATACTGAATGATGCAGGAAGCATCAAAAGAAAATGGAAGGAATGTACACAGTCACTGTACCAGAAAGAATTGGTCAATGTTCGTCTATTTCAGGAGGTAGCATATAATCAAGAACCGATGGTACTGAAGGAAGAAGTCCAAGTTGCACTGAAGGCATTGTCAAAAAACAAGGCTTCAGGAATTGACGGGAATACCAACTGAGATGTGTCAACAAACTAATGCAGCGCTGGAGGTGCTCACTTATTTTTGCCAAGAAATTTGGAAGACAGCTTCCTGGCCAACTGACTGGAAGAGATCCATATTTATGCCCATTTCAAAGTAAGGGGATTCAATAGAATGTGGAAGTTATCGAACAATGTCATTAGTATCATACGCAAGTAAAATTTTGCTGAAGATAATTCAAAAGTGGTTGCAGCAGTACATAGACAGGGAACTGCCAGAAATTCAAGCTGGATTCAGAAGAGGATGTGGAAGGAGTGATATCATTGCTGGTATCAGCTGGATCTTGGCTGAAAGCAGAGAATACCAGAAAGATGTTTACCTGTGTTTTATTGACTATGCAAAGGCATTCAACTATGTGGATCATAACAAATTATGGACAAGACTGGGAACAGTAGAAATTCCAAAACACTTAATTGTGCTCATGAGGAACCTGTACATAGACCAAGAGGCAGTTGTTCAAACAGAAAAAGGGGATACTGGGTGGTTTACAATCAGGAAAGATGTGTGTCAGGGTTGTATGCTTTCACCATACTTATTCAATCTGTATGCTGAACAAATAATCCAAGAAGCTGGACTACATGAAGAAGAACGCAGTGTCAGGATTTGAGGAAGACTCATTAACAACCTGCGTTATACAGATGACACAACCTTGCTTGCTGGAAGTGAAGAGGACTTGAAGCACTTACTGATGAAGATCAAAGACTACAGCCTTCAGTATGGATTACACTTCAACATAAAGAAAACA